CGCTTGCTTAAGAAAATTTGTAATACTGCTGCGTCTACCACGAAACAATTCAAAGAAGTACGCGCAGTGGTAGCTTAGCATTGTGAATGCCATCTCCCTTCATCCCAGCCAAGCAAAATAAGTGCTTGATAGCAAGATTGCCTCAATCTAGACATCAAGTATCCGAATAGAAAATGCAAGTTGGTAGAAATCATGTGAAGAGAGAAAAGGAAGAAAGTGAAACACAGATAACTAAAGGAAGAAAATGAATAAAATTTCTCCAAACTATTCATTCCGTAAAGAAAATGGACGAAGCTTAAACACAAATTAAAAATGGGAAATGGATGAATGATTAACGCCAAAAATAGCATACCGAGTTCCTTCAGCAACAACCTCGTAAGCCCAGAATTTCGCACGTTTGTCAGATGACACAGATAACAATTGCTAAAAAATGATGCAATAGATATAAAAAGTCCGCTCATAGTTATAAATCATCATCACCTTGCCATCCGGAGAGTGCATGACTCTCCAAATTGTACCCTCATGTCCTTTGCGAGATTCCAGCAATTCACATCCTGCCACATCCCACAGAAATAGTTCGCCTGTCTGGAAAATGATTGCAAGAATAAGCTTAAATAAAACAGGGGTTAGAAAACAGTCAATGTTATAGTAGTCCCTTTCTGTGCGTGAGATACGTCGTCATGGAAATTGAAAGCTCGGTTCTATGAAAGAAAACCGGTGAAAATGGGTAGACGAAGCGACAGAAGGAAGTGGTTTTTGAAGAAAATGGAAGTCTACTTTGAGCACCATAAAGAGCTTCAGTGAGATGGAGGGTTCAGGCAAAAATTCCAGTTATTGTCGCCCACCTCGGTTTGCGAACCATTCACAAACATCGTTCAACCCCCCCTTTTTTTCCAAAATGGCGTCTACTCTTTGAACCGATTTGAAACGTTCCGAAACCGAGCTGCAATCTTTTGCTGGGAGGCCATCCTCCAATCTCGTTCGCACTATTCGAACGGGAGGTGTTATTTGGGGAAGTTGAAGACCACGACCAGGTTGCAGGTTGCTCAAGTTTAAATAATTTTGGTGGAAACTTCTGGTGAGAAAACGTGAAGTATGCAGAAATATGCGAAATTGGAGAATTGGCCGCCTCATTAGACATATTTACACCTTAATCCCCCCTCTTAACGGCCATTTTGAACGAAAAAGTGGGCGGAGTAGGACAGTATCGACTAGGCTTAGAATCAAAAGCCATGGAATCAGCCGATGACGGGAGTGGTGGACGAAGTCGGTGGACTACTACCCTTCAATCATTTTCTCGGTCTCAGCTTTCTAGAGTAGAATAAGAAATTTCTGTTTTCGCATTGCTAATTTCATTTCATACGCCATCATTCTAAACTTGATGCAGATTTTAGCTGATTATTGAGCAATGTCGAATTTCAAACAAATATAACTAGCCAACTATTCATTAGCCGATTATAACGGCAAAATGAATTGAACTCATGCAAAAATAAAAGTATATTGAGTGCAAAAGTGTGAGTGGCGGAAATGAGAGGACATCCTAATCAATAAACTTAAGCATAAGTTTTAGTTCTGACTGCAAAAGGTGCAAGTGTCTAACCTACAGAAATAACAAGGAAGCTGGAGTAGAACACTAAAAAGTGATTTAGCAGGATTTCATCACAATTACTACTGCAAACCTTTGTTGCTGCCACCACATGCCCATCTCCTTGGGTGAAAACGACTGCCGTCACGTCCAGCATGGCCTCATTTTGAAGAGAAGCAACGGGTCGAAGGAATGTGTGTTCCATATCATCAGGCTTAAAATGATTGCTCTATAATCCGAATGCAAGTAAGAACATGATCCAGACATACCTCATTGCCACCTCCAGAAACTATCGCGTTGTTGGATGACGACACTGATAAGCCACGAATGTCACTACGATGGCCATACTGAAAGCAGAGTAAATCATTTGCTTTTCGGTGACTGTTCGGGTTTCCTATATGAAACAATTTAACGACAGCAAGAATTTTTTAATCAAGTGCAGTAAAGGATCAGTAATGCTGGCTCCAGTACTAGACAAAACAATCAATTCCTTTCTGGGAGAAATGAGAGAATCATTTATGACTTCTACTTACACCTTCTTCAACATCTCCATCCTGCCATGTGCCAACTGTACAAGGACGACTATGTATATAGTTCCATGAATTCTCTTTTGACGCCCAATGGGACATTTCGTTGATAAAAATGAAGAGTATCAGGTCAGACCGGAATATCTAAAGAATTTAGCCGACACTATTACCTTAAAGCAAACACCCAGTAGAAGTCGTGTCGAAAAATCATTTGGTGGATGGGATAGAGTAGCCACGAGTATCACAGATGTGCCGTTGTCGCGGCTCGAAAGTGCGCGACAATGGCGCTAGGGTCTTACAAAGTGAACTTTTGGCGACTAATCTTAACGTTGGACGAGTTACGTCGCGCACACCCATGACACGCAACGTGGATTACGGCGTAGCGGCTAATTCAAATACGCGCGGGTTAGTTGAGCCGTGGAGCAGGCAAGTTCGTACAACTCGTCTGGCCCGCCCCTTTCTTATTTCAAGGGAATCCTTTTAGGGCTTCATCGACGTTTTCTTTGCTTCCTTTTTCATTGTAGTCAACTCGCATCCACAGCTCCATTATCGACCGCTACAAATTTGATCTGGGGGTAATGCTTCAACTCTGGTTCGATGATTCATGGGCTATCCGATGGAATACACAGAGTCCATCCCGTGGAGAAATGCCAGGAATGTTCAGCAGTATGAGGGAGCATTACAGTGGGGAATGAAGCCTGAAGTGGCTACTGTTTGTCACCTTCAGACCTCATTAGAGCCAACTTTAGACCTAATGGGAGAACAAAGATGACGGACAGCTATACCCGCAAGCAAGATTTCATGGAGATTCAGCACAATCAATCACTCCCACACGGTCACGACACTCACTTCGAAGGAACATCAATTGGTGTCATCAAAAGCGTTGCGACTCGTTTGGAAACAGATATACCTGCGCGAGTCTTGTATTAGTTTATTGACATTTCTCTTCACACATCATAAAGGTATGAAGAAATGAATAGTACCTCGCGGTCCTTTCTATATGGGCTATCGTAAAATAGGCTATCAACGCTGATATGACAAGAAACGATATCTCGCGATTACAAATTGCCCATTAACGATCTGGGGAATGACGATATAGGAATCTATGGATAGCAGTTAGATTTT